GTGTGATCATAATCGAACAAGACTAATAGCCACATTTGAGATCACATTATGATAAGTTGACATGAGGATAGAATTATATGGTAACCATGCTTATGAAAGGTAATTAGAATTAATTAATCCTTTTAGAGAATTAGGTAGTCATGATGCCTCGCTAGAGGCCAACCTTGACTTATGTATCAAGAGATAAAGAGGTGTCTTTTATTCTTGATATATTGCCAACATATCTACCAAACTTATTGAGTCACATGCATAAGTTTAAGCATTCATATAATTAAAGAGAAGCAAAGATGTTGGAAATAGCTTCCAATTTTGAAAGTTTTCTATTTAGGAAAAAAATTCCTAAAATGGAAGTTTCCTAAACTAGAAAGTTTTCTATTTTAGAAATCAGTTTCCTAATTTGAATGTTAATTCCAAATTTATAAGTAAATAATCTAAAATGAAAATTAGTTTCTTAATTTAGGTTTAAGGGTAATTTGAGAAATTTTTTCCTAATGTGGTCCTCCTAAAATTATCTAATTTAATTTATTTAGATAGTCCACAGTAATTAATTGGGTTAAAATAGTTGTAGACCAATAGGTTTAATTAAAAGCGTGAAAGATATTTTGCTTGAAGGATAAACATGAACCTTATTGGATAAGGATGGATGTTTTAAATATAAGATCAAAGAAACCTACATACAAAATAACTCCTAATCCTTAGAGGATTAGGAAGCAACAACCAAAAGTCCAATTAGGACTAGTTGCTGCCCATCCTAATCCTTAGAGGACAAGGAAGCCTCTCTCCTATATATATGGGATAGAGGTGCAGTAAACAAAGGATTTTTGGGACAAAGAAAATTCAACGCAAAGAAAAAAAAATGGCGTATGGCATCAAGTTAAAAAGGGAAAAATAGTTTTCTCCTAAAAACCCTAGCACATGCCACCTCCTCTCTCTCTCTCTCTCTCTCTCTCTCTCTCTCTCTCTCTCTCTCTCTCTCTCTCTCTCTCTCTCTCTTTCTTTGGGTCGTTGTAAAATTACCTTGATCAAATTTTTATAGGAACACTAAACAAGTTAGAAAAGGTGAAGATAGCACTCTATCAATTTTGATTGCTTCTTTTATGAGTGCTTAGACTATGTGGATTATCAATAAAGGTCGGACACTTGAATAATTCTTTTCTACAAAGGTTTAAATCTACACTACAAGAGGTAATTCTTTATTTAGAGCTTTAATTTATGAATATATGGTTATTTGATTTAACGAGATGATCTTGGACTCTTTAGATTGAGGAAATTTTTTTTTTTCGCACCTCCATAGGATGCATGATCCTTCATGCATAACTCGATAAATCAATGTAATGTATGCCATGAATGAATGTGCAATTATGCAATAAAATTGCATACTTTAACATAATAAAATGCACATCATTACCTTTTCATGGATCACAATCTAATCATGGTACATAATTCAATTAACCAATTATTTCGGACGGAGTAATATGTAACATCACATTTCATGTAACCATATAAACCACGAAACATAATGGCAATACCTTTCAAGCAACAAGGAATTACACCATTTATTCATCTATGCCACAATTCACATAGTTGCACACTTTTAACACATGCCTTGTAATCAATCCATCATGAAACCACTAATAATACCTAAATATACAAATCAACTTCTAATCCAAATTTTCTTTGTTTAGGCCGAATACGCCTCAAACCAAAGCTAGGTGTTTTCTTCAATTTTTATGCTAATCCACATGCTCAATTCTCTAATTACACCTTAAATACATAAACTATATCCATCAAACATTCATTCACCGAAGCATTAACAAACCCTAATTCGCCTAATCTTTGTTCGAATATGTGCTTAGTGTAACTAGGGTGAATTTTTTTATTTTAATGCTAATTCTCATGCTAAATCATCTATTCACACTTAGATAACACATAATCAATTAACCGAACATCAATAAATCAAACACCATGAATCCTAAATTTTCACTATTTGGGTCGAAAGTTTCACCATGAACTACGTTATAGAATTTTTGTTTCTAACACTTTTTTTTATACTCAATTAACATATTCTAACTTCAATTCTATCAATTTTCATGTCTAAATCATTTTTCTTAAATTTTTTTATAACCAAAAATCCTAACCCTAATTTCCTAAATTCATGCAATTAAACTTAAACTAATGAGGCAAAATCAATAATTCACACCAATTAACTAGTTCTTGTGATATAGGTGAGATTAATTTATCTTAAAAGCTCTAAATTAGTCCTTGGTCAATTGGATTTTCTTGAAAATTTTTCTTCCTTTTTTCCTCCTTAAGTTTCGGCCAAGTTTCAATTTTTTCCTTCTTCGAAATTTTGATCTTCCAACTAAAATTTGGGGATTAATTAAGTGTTTTAAGGTGGTTTTAGGTGTTTAGGTGGAATCTCTTGAAAAATTCTTGGAAAATTTTGTAAGAGTTTGAAAATTTCTTGAAAAAATTTGTAAGAGTTTGCCTTGATTTTTGCTATCTTTTCAACATTTTCTTCCTTCCTTTTCAGCCAAATTTATAGGTAAACTTGAGTAGATTTTTTGCTTGTTTGACTTGATCTCCACCCTTCATTTGGTTTAATCTCCTCTCTTGATACATCTTTTAATCCTAGCTCTTCATTTGGTTTAATTTTAGCCATCCATTCTTCTTTAAATCCTAGTCCTCCATCACATAAATCTCTAACCCTTCATTTGATTAAACCATTTAATATGAGTCCGAGGTCGTTGGTTTAGGTGGAAAGATTTGACCCAAAAATATCAATTTTAGTCTCTTAATTTATCATACTTTTTCAATTACGCTCCTACTTTTAGTCCCTCTAATTTTAATTAACTACTTTTGGTCCTTCCTTAAGGTCTATTATAACATGTTTATGCCTCCATAAATTTATTGCAAAACTTGTTTGAAAAATAAAGCTTTTAATTTTATGCAATTGAATCCCTAATTTTATGCAATTAGGGCCCTAACCTTATGCAATTAATTCCTTATATATATAATTAATTCTACATACTTTTGAAAACTAATTTATTTTAATAATAAATTCATACACTTCCTATAGTAATTTATTCATAATTACATAATTTTTATACACTCATTTAGGTACTCAAAATAATTATTTTGCATAAAAATGTACTTATTCATACAAAAAATATTCACCAAGCATAGAAAAATTCACTTAAGTGCATGGAATATTCTTACACCCCTCTAACAATTTTTCTATGCTCGAATAATTTTCACACGCATTTTAAATGCTCAAAAGCAATTATTTTGCATAAAAAAGTACTATTCACTCACAAAAAAAGCCTATAATATATTCATTAAGCACGTAAAAATTATTTTAAGTGTTCTGAATATTCTAGCTTCCCTCTAGCAATTATTCTAGGCACACAAGATAATTTTCACATATGTTTAATATATATTAATTCATTTGTTCATAGGTTTGAGATATTTAGTTGTGAACTAAGGTAACTACCTTCCTCCATACACTCGAATGCCTTTTTTACCTATCATAGGCTATGATCAGTAGAAAACCATTATCAATAAACAATTATCTCTCGCTACCTATGGATGTGCTTTTTATATGAACATTTCATGTTTTCATGCTTTATTGTACAAGCATGTATAAAAAAGAAAAATAAATACCTTTGCAAAACCTTTCTTCTCATAAATAAATTGGGGTAACACATCAAAATCATCAACCAAATAATTTTTTTCCCAATATTATTGACTTAGGTACTTTGCTTCTCTTAACAAAAACTTGGTGCATCGTTACTCTCCATTGTAGACAGCATCACACCATCCGTCTCGTAGCGTAAGTAATTAACTCGTAAACTCTATTTTAGTTTCTACTCTTTTATGAGTGAATTTTTTTAGAGTATTTCAATAGCATCTAGATGATGATTCTTCGATAGATAGTTCGGGGGTATCTCTTTCTTTCCAAAATTGAATAGGTATCTCAATTTAAAAAAAAAAAAGAATTTTTATTTAAAAATAACAATTTATGCATTTAAAAGTTTTTTTAAAATTTTATTTAGAAGAAGTTTTTTTATTCAATAGTAAGAGATTTTTTTTTTCGGACCATTACGTGTGATTCAAAACTAAATCTCATTACTAAAAGTCACAACATTTTTCGGTAAAAGCATGAATAACCACCAACCGACTTTTAGGCATGATAAACATCATTAAAAATGCTTTGTTCCACCAAGTCCATAAAAAAGTTTTTTACCGATTGGTTTTGGAAATGACATGGAATTTGAACTTTCGACGGATTCTATTGGAATTGACTCCTTGGTACAAGTACAGTTGATTCGGGATTCAATTGGCTATTGAGGAAATTATAAACAACTAGTCTTCTCTATCTACAGAATCCTTCGGAGACCTTAGTAGGTTCATATCATTTACATTTATAAGGAACCTAACCATTTGACAGATTGGCTTGCTTCACATACTTACTCTCTTATGAGAGGAATTTTGTATTTGAGCATGTCCTATTAGAGTGTATTAGCATCATTTTGGAGGATATCTGTAGTGTAGCATCCTCGAGACTTTGCAACTCTTATCCTAATGCTTAGAGCTTTTCTCTCCCTTAAATAATAATTTTTTTTTTTTAAAAAAAAACCTCCTTATGGTGTGAAAGTTTATTAATAGATACAAGGTGTATTAATATAGTTTCCTTTCTTTTAAATAACAGGGAAAAAATTATATCAACTCTTAAAGAAAATCAAACCTTTTAATATAATAGTAAATAAATAAAGAGCATGTAAATAAAAAAAAGAAGAAGAAGAAGAAGAAACAGTGTATACAACAAAACGGTGCGTTGGTAGTCGTGTCATGATGCGTCGAATACTGAAACCAGCAACCGCCGTTCTAAGAAAGAACAGAAGCCTCGAAGTAAACTGTTTTATGGTTTCATGGTTTTCAGCAACTGAATTTAGGTTGTTTTTCTAGTAAAAGAGGTGTTAAAAAAAAAAAGAGGCAGGATGGGTGGTGGAGTACTACTAGGCATGCCTGGACCATGGGCTGATGATAATCGTGAACCATCTGATTTTTATACTTCCAAAATTGGAGGACTCCCGGTAGGTCATTTTTTTTATTTCCTTTGATCAATCTTGTTTCGCTGTTTACTTTGTTTATTAGAGTGAATTGTAAGCATTCTTTCCCTTAACAGGATTGGCCTTTTTTTTCTGAGCACTTAGCTCCCAATTTGCTTATTTGTGGTGCTTGTGGAAGTAAAATCCGTCTTATTGCCCAGGTTTTTCTTTTTCTTTTTCTTTTTTTTGGTATATACATGTATGTTCTTGAAAATGAATTGATGTGTTTGTTCTGGAGAATTATTTTTGTTACAAAAATTTTGTATCTCCAGGTTTATGGTCCAATTTCTATTGGAACTTTGAACATTGAAGATCGAACTGTTTTAGTGTTTGGTTGTATATGCCAAATTGTGGAAAAACCCCTCTTAGGTGTTTTCAAATTTCACTTTTTGGTTAATCATTTGTTATTTCTCCTTCTATCTACGATGTTGTTTGATTTGATGGTTATTATTATTTTTTATTTATTTATTCTGTTGACTGCAGCTGGCGAGCTCTTCGTGTCCAGAAAGTGGATATTGAAAGAGAATCATCTACAAGTACTGAAGACGTGGTCCCTTCAACTCCACCTGTTTCTGTTTCAAAAGCTAACTGGCTGGATGATGATAGCGATGAAGACATTGATCTTGAGGTTTTGGGGAAAGCGCTTTCTGAAGTTGGAACGTTGGCTTCTCACTCCAAGAAACAAGATGGGAACCGACGATCTGAGCCTGTTGTAAAAGAATTCCACTTTGGTGCCAAGGACAGGAGTAGACAATGGAAACGCCTGGTAAAGTTTTTTTTTACGGAACTAGTCTTGACATGTCATCAAACTTATTTAGGCCTGTAGTGTGATCATGAATATCTAGTTATAGATTCATAATTTACCGTCAGCCTCATTCCTTAGTGCTCAGGTAACTTTCCATGGAATGTGTCTTACAAGTGAGTGGTTGCCATGGTTGATGAGGGTACTCGCATCTTTTCTTTCTTGCTCATGCCAAAAGGTTAAACCTTTGCTTCTTTCCAATTATTGGCGACTTCTTGTCTAACTATTGCCTTAGTGATCTTCCCCCCACCACCACCCACCCCCACCCCCCCCCCCCCCCCCCCCCCCCCCTCTTCCTCCTCTCATTTTTGTTTGGTAATTGCAGTGGTTCCGTTCTTTTATTTGTATGCTCAAGAGCCATCCTTGAAGGACGTTGTTTCTTCCATATGTTCAAATTACTCTGGACTTTCCATTAAGGAGAAACAAAATTGTGATTACAATGATCATGAAATGGAAGATGAGGGGGAACAAGAAGTGTGTGAATATGATAAAGCTTTAAGTGCTGACTGGACATACCTGAAGTTCAAGAAACAGTTGGATGCAAACCCAGATCAATGCTTCAGGTATTAAGTCTTGGAATTTAGATTTTGATTGCCTTTGAGTACCACCATCACGATTGTTCGATTGTATAGTCTTAAGTTATAGCTTGGTATCACTTAAGGAGCTTTGGGCTTTCTGAACCAGCAAAACTTAGGGAAGACATTCAAACTATGTTGGCTTCATGTGACATGAAGTTTAGAAACTGTAGATATACATAAGGTGTTTGTAACTTCATCAAAAAAATGTTGCACAGATTTTAGTTTCTCTTTCCTCCTATCCCATTATTACCCTATATTAATGACAACCATCTCCGTTTTTAGGATCATTCTTTGAATTAGGCACCTTCTCATATGAGGTTCAATTGTTTGTATCTTTAAAAGATTTCTTAATACTGGACTGGAGTTGATCGGATGGAGATCCCATGAATTTATCATTAATCCAGGTCTTTTGGCTCAACTTTATACCTGTTTTGCTCATGGAGAAATCTCATTTTTCACCATGATCCAGTCAGAATATTTAATCTTTTCAAAATATTAGAGATTTCTTACTTGTCATGTTTATTTTTGGCATCTGCTTGATGATTAGGAGTCTTCCTCTTTGTTCTGGAAATAAATACAGCAGCAAATACGTTTTCTACAGTTTTACATGGATGTTAGAAATTTGTTGTTCTTTTCTATAAATTTTTCCCTTTCTGTGTGGTATCATTTACCATTTCTTGATTCCATAGCACCTTTAAATCTTAGTTCTAATCTTCTCCTATCTCTTTGTAATTGTTCTTCGGTTGGCTACTCAGGTACTTGTATGGTGGAAAGCCACTTCTCCCCACAGCACAGCTGGTAGACCCTGGCAAGTGCAAGTTGTGTGGTGGTTTCAGGCACTTTGAGATGCAAGTGATGCCCCAATTAATATCTTTTCTATTAGATGGAGCTGATGATTGTCAAAAAAATGTACTAGAGAATTGGAACTGGATGACAATTGTCGTCTATACTTGCTCCAAGGTTAGTTTTTTTACTTTTTCTGTACTTTGGTTTATATGGTTTCCTTTTAGAAAGATTAACTTCATTATCTTTGTAATGGTTCAACGTATAAGCCATTAGATGAACTATATCCTGGAGGATTTGATTCAACAGGGTATGCTGGAATTGAGGAGGGGAAGACTTGGTTGTAATGATAGGATTTAGTTTGAAAGAATTATAGTGATCAATCCACTTTTTGTATTAGAATAAGTGGTAAAAAATGATGCGCCAACAACATGAGTTAGTGGCCATGCAACGTATCAAGGTTGTTATATGTGTCAGTGAGCATGTCTTAGGACATGTGCGAATAAACAAGCAATACCTTAGCAATCATGCAAGTAGACAAGCACATGCACGCAAGGCCTCTTCCTTATAGAAGAGGACTGAAGAGTTTGGAAGTACAACTCTATAGAAAGAGGGTTCAAGGAATGTAGAACCAAACAACTGAAAAATCTTAACCTTAATTCAACATTAAACATGTACCCTAAAAGCAATGAACATAACAGAGAAACACCAGCAACCTAAACTAAATAGGAAATACTCCTAACAAATATCCTTTATAATGACACTAAAATTGCAAGGAGTTCCGAAGTAATGATAAAACTCTAAAAATCTAAAATTACAAAGAAAATAAATAATAATCCTTCACCCTATACCATAGCACTTGTCTATTAACACGTCATAACACACTTGTATATATGTAGGGCTATTAACTCATGCTTATTGGCGCATTAATTACTCTATGTCATGTGGAACACTTGTTCGCATACCATGGTGTACTTTGGTCTTATACCAGGGGAAAAAAAAGGCGGAAAAATCAGATCCTTTGAATTTTTTAAATTGAATTTCTCATGCAGGCTTTGGCTGCAAGAGTTTCAAATTCTGATGTTCTCTTTTTATTTTTTCAGAGTTGTTCCAACTCATATGATCAAGAAAAATCCACAACCAATGGCTGGATTGAGACAGAGGAAGCTGTTTCGGTAAAATTTAAGAAACCCTCGCACGAGTCGATTCACCTTGGTTATTTCTTATGATGTATGACATTTGACAACACTGCTGGATTGAGAAGTAGAAATCCAAGATTCATATTTTTTTTTCCCGATGTGATTGATTAGCATTAGTGATTTATTTTTGTCTGATGTATTTGGTTGTTCGTGGTTTCTGTAGTATTGATAATGGTTTGTGTGTAGAAAGTGGGGAGTGCTTGTAAAATCTTTTTGTAAAGAAGGGCTGGAAAAGTTTGGATGCAGAGATTGAAGACTAGACATTGCTAGATACTGTCAAGCTTGCTGTTCAAGCTGCAAATATTGGTTAGGCGTTTTGGCATGTCTTCACATTGAAGTTATGGTTGAAATTTCTCTTTTGTTTCTCTTCTCTAAGACTCAGCCACAGAAAGGCCTTTTTTTTTTTTTTTTTTTCGGGGGGAGTGGTGTCTCTTATGCGCGTGGAACAAATCAGAACTCAATCAAATTCATATGCAATTGCGAAGTACTTGTCAAGAAACACCTCGGTACAGAAAAAGCGGTGGATGGAAAGCACAAGAAAAAGAAATTGACCAATGGAAAAAACCATCTCCGTTCAAAAGTTTAGGTAAGGTTTTAAGAACTGCTTATTTTTTAGTACTTCTTTTAAAGTGAACTTTTTTTAGTATTGAAATTTATATAGTCCTACTATGATCTTGTGTTTAATTAAAAGAGAATAAAAATAATAAAATTCAAATTTGTGATCATGTCAAAGAGCATAACTCGAATCTAAAAGCTTAAACTTTTAACTAAGATCTCAATTGAATAATTAAATCAATAAATCAAAGGCAGTAATATGTAAAGTTGGAAAAAAAATTTCAACTATAATAAGGTCTAATTCTCAATTATTTAACTATCATAAAATTTTTGAAGTTCAAGCAAGAGAGGTTGAGAAGGATTATTTATTATAAAACTCAAATTTTTTCGATAAAAGTCAATCTTAATTATTAAACTTTGTAACAAAAGTGTATAATGTATCAATTTACTTTTCTGATTGAAACGCTCAAAAACACCACGTAACAGGTTAGAAATGTTTTGCTGGTTAATTAAAAAAAAAAAAATCCCCAAAAAATTATATTTTTGCAGACACGAAAAAAAAAATTAAAAATCCTAGGTATAAAAGATAGTAGATTTTTCTCTCCTTAGTCGACAAAGAAAAATTGAAGAAAGCAGATAGTCTTTTCTCTTCCTTGATCGATATTCTCTCCTGCCAATGAGCCACGCTCTCCTCCTGATGTTCCTCGAGTTAATAGTCTATCTTTTTTCCTGACTCTCACTAGTAATGGTAAGCCACCATAAACCGTGCTTTATTGATGTTGTTTTTTCTTTATGCACTATTGCTTTTGATTCATGGTGTTTGGAGACTCTGCTTTTCTTCCTGTCGGATTTCCATAATTGATGTTGCAATATTTGATCGACTTCATCTCTATTATAATATTTATATTTGTTGGCTGTGAATCTCAGGTGGTTGGAGAAATGATCATTTGTGGTGATATCAGAATCATTAAATGCCCTTTGCTCGTAGAAAGCTTAGTAGCGCTAGGTCCAATGCTTGTGTTTGGAAAGGGAAATGGATGCATGAGGTACTATTGGAAACTTCCAAGTGTACAGCAGCTTAGATGGGCAACTCGTTCTTGCCCTTTTACTGGTCACAAGGGTGTAGAGGATGCAGATGATTCATATGCATTTGATGGAAAAAGGGTTAGTAAGTGGAATAAAGATGCTGAGCAATACGGTCAGCCATGGGTTGTTGGTGATGTCATTGGATGTTGCGTTGATCTGGATCATGATGAGATATTATTCTATAGAAATGGTGCATCTCGTGGAGATGCCTTTCGTGGTATCTGCAAGATGGGACCTGGATATGGGCATTACCCAGCAATCTCTCTTTCTCAAAGTGAATTAAATTTTGGGTCTCGTCCCTTCAAGTATCCCGTTCCGCGGTTCCTTTTCCTTAAAGCGCCTCTTTCAGCAAATCTTTTGACTATGCAGTTGCTTCAGTGCTTATCAAGGCTGTCAGATACGCAAGAAACGGACCAGGCTGAAAGTTCTTTAGTTGGTGAAGTAAGGAGATTGAAGAGATTTGTGTTACTTGAACAAGTATTATATACCGTCTGTCGTGAGATATGTGAGGAATTCTTTTTTCTTTTTCTTTTTTTTCCTTTTTACCTTTTTTTTTATTTTCTATTTTTTTCAGCAATATTTTTCAATTTTTTTTTATAAAATTTTGCCACGTGACAAATTAAAATCTAACATGGCGTACCATCTAAATTTTTTTATCCCAAGTGGCAATTTCAATGGAAAAATTAACCGATAAATAGTCGAAAAGCTATATTAAAAAAGCCGATAAATAAAGAAAGGAACAACATTAAGAAATTTTAAAAAATAAAAAATAAAAAATATATATAAAATGCCACATTAAGAAAATCAGGAAAGTAGATGAACGTTTGATGGTTATCAAGAGAAATCTGAAATTTAATGACTCACAATTCATCAATTTGAAAGTCGCAACACGATAACAATATTTCTCCATTTACAAGAAAAAAAGGTTGGGAGAAATATCTAGTGTTGTTTTGTAAATGGATGAGTTTTAAACCTCCATAAAAGGAAAATGGTGTGCATGAGCATACTTTAGGGTGCGTTTGTTTCAGGAAAACAAGTTCCTAGAACTTGTTTTTGCCATTTTCCTATGTTTGTTTTGCCGTGTTGGAAAAAAGTCAAAGAAACTTATTTTCCAGATCAAGGAAAATTTAAAAGCTAAGCTTTGGAAAATGACTTCTCGAAAAAAAAAAGAAAAAACATTTTCCATTCGAGGCTCCAGTAGCCGCTATCCCATTCTCCCCAAACCCACCCACCCACCCACCCACCCATTTTTATTGTTGCTTAAAGCTAACCCAAGGACGCTCTTGCCACCCAATGCCACCGCAACAAAGCTAACACTAATATCGAGCAAACAAAGCCTCGCAAAAGAATGGTTAGATCTCGTTGTGATTTCTTGTAGTAATATTGTTTGATTTGTAAGATTTTTGTATATCTTCTTCCTTTAGATTTGATTTCTTGTGTAATATTATCTTATTTGTTTGTTTGTGCATCTTCCTTCTTATGGGTATGTCTTCTTTTAGATCCGATTTTTTGTATGTCTTCAAGTTTATGTTAGCCATGAAACTTAAATCTAAACCAAAAAGAAATCTTGTTCGTGTGAAAAAAAACTCGACAAAGAATATCTTTATCTTATTAAATCACAAAAAAGAGAGAAAGAATTATGAATGACGAGAAAGATGCAAGTTATTAAATAATCGATTTGAATTGAATGGATTTTATGCATTCAATAATTTGACCAATATATGTATCATGTGGATTTTTGATCAAAATGGTTTTGCCAAAGTTCAATCATGCTTTACTTTCAAGCATCACAAGTACATACCCTTCTTTTGTCAAGCTAGCATTGCAGAGACACCCCGAACTTTATATTTACTTTGTTACATTAGAATGGAGTGTAGGTATGGTTTAAGGGCCATTATTATATTTTGTCTCTCCTACTCGCACTTTTTATTCTTTTTCATGAGAAAAGTGGAATGACTAATTAGTATGTTGTTCGGCTTTTACATGTTTTGTGCATGTAAATCCTAGAATATATATATATATACAAGCAAGTTATAGGAGGTAATGGTGTTCATGTGCACTAATGTTTGGCTAGGTCTAACTTTCAAATTGCTTGCTTGGTAGTAAATCTTTGGTCTCAATACCAATAAATAAAACTTAGTAATCCATTTAAGAATGAGAGGAAAGCAAAGGAAGTTGTATGGAGGAAATACGAGTTTGGAGTTTGATTTTATATAGGAGTTGGCTGAAATGTTTATGATAATGAGGAGCTTAAGAGACTAGAAAGGAGTAAATGGGAGATTTATTGAAGATTTTGAGAGATTGGGAATTGTGGTAACTGCTAATACTACGACAAATGAAAGGGTTTAGTTGTTACTATAAGTTAAATGGATTTATGAATTAAGATCTTCATAATAGTCCTTGATGATATTTTCGAGTACCTAGGTTTCAATGTCTTTGAATCATTGGTATATGGAGAGTCCTTGATTATACTCGCATGTTTAGTATCCTATTAGATCCATATTATCATTCTCGTTGGTTTTTGACCAATGTGTAGTGTATGACTTGATGCTTAAGTTTTAAAGTAGGAGTTGTAACCCATTTGATTCACCCCGCTTTTTTATTACCGTCGCTTATGTAATGTGTTTCAGTTTGTTATTTGTTAGAATTGAAATAGGAAGTATGGCGAGTGTCTACCGAACAACTAACTCGTTTATGCTCGGTTCTCCTATTAGTGACATTAGGTCGGGAAAAAAATGGCAGTTATGCAAAAAATGTTGATAGAAATTCCAAAGTTTCCAAACTCTATGAAATTTATTACAAAGCTAGAAAACCTCTTTTGGGGACAAAAATAGACACTCGGAAGTAGAGAAACTATAGGTGGAAGTGGTGTAGGACCCGGTGGTACAAAGAAATCGGAGCTATGATTGCGAGCATCATTGTTGATACTCGTCATTTTCATTGTTTTCCTTTCATTTGTTTTATATAAATATAAGAAACGACATCCAAAATCCGAGAAGGAGGTGAAATGGAATAGTGGAGAGGCATTTCATAAAAATGGAGTTGCATGTGAAGGGAATGGGTATAATGGGGTTCTAGTTGAATTGCATAGCCGTAGTAGTGATGGCAAAAAGAGCACAAATATTTTTGAGGTGGGAATGTTGCTATGCCAATTGAAGTTCTTTGAGGAGTCACCGATAATTTTTATGAGATTAATATTATAGATAATAGTCGGTAGTTAATTGAACCAACTCGTTAATAGAAGGGAGATTCAATTAGATATGACAATTGATTTGTAAGGGATTCAATTAAGATAAATGTAATAGTTTGAGGGTTTATATGTCTTTTTCATAAATATGCTACAAAAGATAGGCAAAAAAGGATTTTAAAAATAAATTTAGTTAGAAAAGAAGCAAGAAGAACAAGTCATGTCAATTAATTGTGTTCCAACATTCTATTTTAGTGTTAAAGCATGAGAAAACTATCACATGAAAAAATTAGCAACAAGCCGACCAGTATTACTCATGCTAGGCCCGATGTCATATGTTTAAGGTTGGTTCTAAGATAAACTTTGATACAAAGTCCAAGGTTTGATTCGAGTTGGACTCGATCACCCTTATGGTTAACCCAAATTCATATGATGGGTCCTTATTGACTCATATGGCATGTGGATCCTTAGCAAACTAAAAAGTGCTATGTGCATCCTTACATTATTGTTAAGTAGACCATAGAATAGGAAAATCAGCTAGGACTAGTAAAACCTAAACAAAAGTGATATGAACAAGTCTTAGTAAAAAAAAAAAGCATGTGATTTATTCTTTTGTTTTTATTTTTAATTTCTTTTTAATCGATGAGAAAATTTATTCCTAGATTACTTCCAATTATAATTTCTCTTATCTATTTCTCACGATATATTGTTTTTATTTTTTGAAATTTTGTTTATCGACAATGCTTGTAGAAATGAGTAACACGAAGCAAGAAAAAGCTAAAGCCGAATAATTTAGGTGGACAAGACCTATGTCTCATATGTTGCTTGAGATTTTGGCCGAGCAAGCTATGAAAGGGAATAAACCTTCTTCCACTTTCAAACAAGATAGCTTTTTACATGTAGCACGAGAAATCAACTTAAAATTTGGATTAGATTGTTCTCCCGATCATGCTAAAAATCATTTGGAGACAAGAAAAAAAGAATGAAAGATTATCACACAACCGCAAGAGAAAAGTGGTTTTGGATGGACCGATGAGTTGAAAATGATAACTTTCTCAAAACAAGTTTATGATGAAGAGATAACGGTAATATAATTTTTTTTCAATGTCTTAACTTGTTTTTCTATATTTATAAGATGTTTTCTAATTTCTTTTAATAGACGAGTGCATCAAAACCATGATAACTACTTGAACAAATAAATTGAGATGTATAATGAGATGGCACTTGTTACTAGACAAGATATGGCCATAGGAAATTTTGTCAAGTCCTTTAATGATATCAACTTGGTTGAGAGCTTTGAAATGGAATCTACAACACCAGGTGAAGTTGACATAGGCAAAGGAAAAGAGGCATCAACAACCAAGTATGCTTTCGAAAGGAGAAGCCATCAAAAAAGAGGTTATGAAACCGAAGAATCAATTACATCTATTTTAGATGTGAAAGTGAGAGAAGTTGCCGAGCAATTCATGTTTTAACAAAAAATGAAGTTGATATAGATGTGCTTTATAATGTAGTGATGAAGATTAGTGATTTTGATAATGGCATCTTGAATAATGTGATTGATTATTTGGTGTAAAATGACAAGTTGGCAAAGGCTTTTATGGCAAGAAATGAATAGCATAGGAAGTTTTGGATTGAAAAGTTCATCAATGAACATGGTGGATCATCTACATGATGTGGCTTTTAATTAAATGGTCGGATCTATTACTATTATGTGTGACTTTCCTATTATATATTTGGATTGCTATTATGTATTTGGATTCAATAGGAGTATGAATTTTGTAGACAGCTTTGATTGTTTTTGGATGATGGATCGTTTAGCTATTCTTGTAGCTATTATTATGGATGTGAGATATTTTAATTATGAATGCTTAATTTTCTAGTGTTCAAGTTGTCGTAATGCATGAATGAGATTCAACTTCGGATTACAAGTAGTATAATTATAGATCAAATTGATAGAATGGAAAGAACTATTTATTTTATTTGTCCAACCAAGTATTTCATTATAATTTTATTATATGACTTTTTTTTATAAATAATTATGTTATAATTTTTATGATACCAACTCATGTTTCTCAACTCCACCATTGACACCACTCTTTACTTATCCATCTAGTCAATGAATATAACCAGATCTGCTTTTTATATTTTCATTTTCCGTATCAAATAAACGCTAAAAAATGTTTATCGACAATTTTTCCATTCAACTACTAAACACTAGAAAATATTTTTTTGAAAAACAACTTCCCGAAAAATACCTTCTTTAGAATTGATTTTCTTTTTGAAAATTATTTTCTCGTCAAAAAACGAAGCTTTAGAGTTACAAGAGCATCATGCTCGACTCCAATTTTTAGCCCTTTAGTTGGACTCAAAATTAGGAGAGAAACCTCTCACCAAGCATTCTCCTATATGGTTTAAGAGAAGAAAATAGACCAAAAAATAATAAAAAAAAAAGCTAAATCCACTATTTGCACCATTTGTTTTCATAAATTCATCAAATAAACCTTATTATTTTCAAATTCAATTAATTAAATTTGTATTTTTCAATTTTCGTCATTTAAGTATAATTTTTACAAAATTGATAATTTTTATGTTAGACCAAATAAAAATATAATATACATTGGCATAAATCCTGCATATAGATCCCACTTTATACAGTTATATTATTATTTTTATTTGAATTAATGTATAAAAACTTTTGATTTTTCAAAATAGTATTAAATTGACTGGAATTGAAAATAAGTGTGTTTAATTAACCGAATTGAAAACAAAAGAGCTTATTTGCTGAATTAATAAAAACACAAGGTGCAAATAGCGAGCTTTGCTCCCAAAAAAAACACAAAGAAGAAGAAGACCGCTGGAACACGTTTCCATCCTTTGCAGGAAAAACGTTGATATTTCTTATTAAACCAACTTGTTGTCTTAAAATATGCAACAGGTAGTGAATTCTAGGTTCAGTTTGCCTTGAATCACTTAACCATTAATAAACGGACCCAAACAAAAACTAAACTTCGATTATCATGAAGTCGATATCAAATACAAGTGTTCCAAACCAAATGTCATGTTAGACAGTTAGAGCAGTATCACATCCTGAGCAACACTACATAGCCGTAAACATTGGAAGTATAAACCATTTGGCTATTTAGAACCATAATGATAAGACATTAATAGCTTAAATCACTCCTCTGTCTAATAATAGTAATAAAAAACCTTGAACATTCAGACGACAGCCCAGTCCAATTTGAAATGGAAGAGGCTATACTGGCCACTATTCGAATTTCTTGATCAATGACAGGTCATTTAGCATTTTATCGATTGCTTCATCATCGTGAGCCCGGCCTTTGGTCTACATAACAATTACATTTGGTTAATCAGCATTCAAATCAAATTTCTAGATCAATGACGGTTCATTCAACATTTTCTCAATTGCTTCATCATTGTGAGCTCGGACATTCATGCACATTACAAAGACATTTGGTGAATAATCGTGCTTTGAATGATGAGAAGCACATATTATAATGAACAAAGCACTTCTCAATTGCTTTCTCAAGTAGTGCCTTATGATACCATAGAAAAGGCTGCCATCATTGTCCAAGAAAACCAATAAAACCCCAACAACATGATCAACATAAGATGAGTTTTTGGTTTGATTTTTGTTCATTTTGTAACTTGGAGAAGAGAGAGGAGAGCCCAGATTGGTAGCATGCATCAATTTATTTTGTTTGTCTCCACTGTTGATTTCATTGTAACTCTATATTGATCTAAAGAGAAGTAATCTTAAATAGAAGGACCCAACCGAATGTCTGAAATAACTAACCTTGATAGAAGGTACCATGGCAATAGCTTCCTCAACTGTTTCAGGGCAAAGGTTGCCAAGAACGCAAAGCTGCACCAAAAAGTATAATAAGTAACGATTCTTTTACCCTGAGAGAAAACTTACAAATTTCAATTTATGTGTAATTGTGCAATTTACCTCAAATTCAGCCAATTGGTATCGGCTAAGAATTCTGAAAGTTGGGTTAAGTTTGCATATGCTGCAAGATACTAGAAATTTGAACACAAACTATAAACCAATTACATGCATCATCCCTAACTAACAAATTGACCCCATCCTTACTGATGAAAAACAATTGTCATGCTCCTTTGATCAACCACTCAATAAAAGCAAGTGTGATCCTAGAAACTTAAATTCATGGTAACCAAACACAACAGGATAAGCAAAAGAAAAATCCCCAACATGAACAAAAACTTTAGTATTTCACATTATAGTAAGTCTTATACAGCACGCTACTATTATAATTTTTCAAAAGTTCAAGGATACTCTCGAACTTGTCTGACAGCATCAGGGTTTTTGTAGCGGCTAAAGCGCTTCACATACTGCAGTGATTTCTCAAATACTCTGCAATGTAAATACAAACAACACATAAACACATTTAGCAAGAGAAAACATAATTTTAGAGCATGCAAAATCTCCTTCGTTTTCACCCTTGTTGGACAAACCACTAGGGGCAGATCTTGGATTTATTTATTTTTTCCAGCAGGGCAAACAGTACTGGTAGCATTTAATTTTTACAATGAAGTTACCCCCAAAACATTCCATCATAGACCCCCTAGTTCCTAAATTCATAATTTAGACCAAACCTCCTACCAAAATAAAGAATCGATTCATCATAATTGGGGAGAGAGGAAAGCTAGAATTAACAGCCACATGACCTTAAGCTTCTCACTGCTGTTAAGATATTGGGAACATCCAGTGCCCTGAATGGGTAAGTCGCCAATCCCTAAAACTACTATGTACTGTCCTTTATCCTAAAATGGACTAAGTAATATCCTTTATCTGTTGGGTTACGGGGTTTAGATAACCTCAACACGAGAAGAAGAGATTGAAAAAATCTTTGCTTATTTAACCTGATCACACACAAACACACACACTCACGCACACACACACACACACAAGAATCCCCTCTAAAATCAATTTATGCCATTCAACTTAGAAAGTCAGGTTGCAAAACAGGTTAAAAGCTACTCAAGCAATATAACAACATACAACTATGGCATGGAAAACTTGAAAGCGCGTGGCATAGCGTGGAAATATTATACAATAGCTATATTACTTACTGGGATACTTGATTCATGGGATCATCAGACATCTGTTGAAGTTGCTCATACTTATGCTCAAGAATTAAAGCAACTTCACAATTCATTAAGCACTTCGCCTTCAGAAACTCTATTAAAAAAAAAAAAAAAAGGTACCCATCATAAAAAGTTTGTTAAATTGCACAGAAAAATTGATATCATTATTACCATCTCCGATTTTGAGCTCGGCCGCATTCTCTTCCTCTTCTCCAGACATACTGTGACACAAATAAACCAAACACAACTAAATATAAACAAAAAAGAAGAAAGATTTTTTAGAACTTCATCAAGAACCCTAAAAACAAAACCAAAAGTAAAACTTTTTATGTATTTATTTTTTTTCAGACACCGAAAGCAGTTAGATGACGCTAAGGAATTCAACCCAGATTAGATTAACCAACTAGTTTTCAAAGATTAGCTTAAAAAATTGGAATATTTACCTTTTCGTTTCTTTTAAGGTTTTTCCTTTCGGAGAGAGTGAGGTTTGAAAGATCTACTTGAGATATTTTGGTTTGTTTGTGAACGAATTTATGTTGGCAGCGTTTCATTTCAAACTTTCTGGCGTAAACAAATCCGATGTAAGTGGGGATTGGAGCCCACATTTAGAATTAGTACATAGCCCAACTGCATAAACAGGGCGAAAAGAAAACGAGGTTGGGCTACATTTGTTTGTTTGATAAAAATTGATAAAAAATAATTTTTATAGAAAAATTAATTATTGAAGAAGTTATTTATTAAAAAAAATTTTTATTTTAATTTTTTTTGCTATTTATCAATTACATAAAAAAATTATTAAAGAATATACTCCAGTATTTATTTGATATAAAAAATTAAAATATAAAAACAATATGTTATTATTACATCAACAAGTTTTTAAAAAAACTTTAAAACAACATATTTATAATTTCACAATATAAAATATATTTAGAAAAATTTAATAAATTTTCTTAAATTCTGACTCTAAAATTTTAATTCAAAAAATAAAATGTATTTTTTAACCATCAAACTAATTCATGAAAATTATTTGGGACAAAATCAAGTCAATATCCACATTTAGTGAAAAAACTTCTAAATAATCTTAGTATTGTTATTTTGATAACTCAATTAAGAATTTTTTTTTTTTGAAATTAAACTGATAATTTTATCTAAAAAATAATTTTATAAATTATTAATTGTCATCCGTAAATAATTATTCATTTGGTTTCAAAAGTTTAATGTTGAAATAATTTGTAACTAATTATTCACCGCAATTACTAATAAAATTTTACAACCGATTAAAATTACAAATTATTGATTTAGTTGCAAATTAATAGTGTTGGAAAAATAATGTATTTATTAATGAATTAATTAATTTCAATTAAAATTGCGTATTGTAAGAATCATTTTCAATCATTTAAGTATAGTTTAGCTGATATTTGAGATAATAGTAAAAAAAATAGAGATCAATTATTAAAATATTTATTACAAACATAGTTTTAGGGTGTAAAAATGATTTTTAAGAATATTTAATGTATCTATAAATCAAAAAATCAAATATTAGTAGAAATAGAGAAAAAAATAATAAAATAATTAATAATAATTGATAAGGAATAATTAAAAATTAATTTGATATATTTTAAATAAAAAGAAAATAGAGAAAAAAATTGTTAAAATATATTAAGAGAGAGGTAAGTAACGCGACCATGAAACAACTCGTGACAAGGAAGATGTTTTCCTCATTTTTAACTCGGGAAACTTTTTTTTCAAATATACTCTATCATTTTTTGTTGATCGAAAATCATTTTCTCGTTGACTTTTTTCCTAAACACGAAACAAACACCGAAAAAATAAGAAAAACAAGTTCCCGAAATTTGGTTTCCCCAAACAAACACAAGCCTAGGTTAATCCTTGTGAAAAATTTTCGTGAAATAGAAACCTAGTAACACATATTTATTGATTGACAATAAAAAAAATTTTACTTGAAAATGTTTGTTCCCTATTTTTCTTGCTTTTTCGAAAACTCGGAAAAAAATGAAAAATGTTGTTTTCTCGAATTCTACACAATATATGACCTTGTTTGATTCACCTAATTTTTTTCTCGTTAATTTCTTTTTTTATTTTCCAAGTACTAAATCAGTACATTTTTTTTCGTGAATTTTCTATGTGGTATACTTTAAAAAAAAAATCGTGAAGAAATTTTTTAAAAATAAATGAAAAAATTGGAGATGAAAAGTAAAAAAATTCTATTTTAAAAAATAGTTATATAATATTACGAGTCGATTAGTAATTTTCATAAATATTTTAATTTCGTGAGTTTAAAATATTCTTTAAGAAATGAAATAATTTTTTAGATTGATTTAAAATATATTATGATGCTATTTTTTTTTATATATAAAACATATGAAAAAAAAACAGAAAAATCAAGAAAATATTTTAAGCAAAACAAACCCACCTACTATTTGCTCTCAAAGTTATGTAATGAAGTATTAAAATCCTAACCGAATACTTTTGATATTTATAATTGCTTTGTCTTAAAGTAAAGTAGGTAAAAGAAAAAAAGAAAAGAAAACTAGAAAAACAAAGGGCTAAACGCACTCCAAATTTTGGATCAAAATTTATATCCTTAATAATTAGTCACATGATAGTTATTGGTATAGCAGCTTTACCTTAATCTATACTATTATTATTATTATTATTATTTTCTTTCTAATTTCACTTATTTTAATCTCTTTTTTTATTATTCTTTAATTGTCCATTCAATCAAATTTATTAACAATAGAATCCTTTCACCTTCATCTAATTTCACTTATGTTAAATCTTCCTCTCTTTTATTGTTCTCTAATTGTCCATTCAATCCAATTTATTAGTGGTAGAGTCATTTTATATGCTCCCATCTTTCTTTAAATCTCAATCAATATGTTTAAACTTTTTTGCTTCTTAATCACGTTTTCCTCTCCATTTCTATGACCATTCAAACATATCATTTAGATTTATAAACGTTTCTAACAAGTCACTTTCCCGCATTTTGATTCACTAGATCTATCTCGTCTTTTATCAAACTTGAAGTTAGCTAGGACAAGAGTTTGAGTTCATATAATAGAGAATACACCATAGTTTTTCAATAGCAATCGCAAGCACATTTAGCTCTTCCTCTCCAGACTTTACACTCTTTCTATTATGGAGAGAACATCATAATTTATATAATGCATCCGATACGATCCTCTATTATGTAGATGTATATTAGTTATTTTGTTCGCGCTATGTTGCGAGTTGGATAAAATATATAAATTTATTTAAAAAAATCATTTCAGTTTGATAGTCCGTTTTATGGTGTGAATCTATAAAAATATATGAAATTAAAGGTGAAAAAAATTATTTATAATTTTTTAATAAAAAATCTTGTATTTAACTATTTCTTATTTGTGTTTTTCATAATTTTTATGTTGAAAAAAGGATTTATACTTGTTAATCCATGGATTATTAACTAAAAAGAAATTTAAATTAATTTTTTTAAAAAAGCTTTAGTATTTCATAAGATTGTATCAAAAAATATAAATAACAATTATTAAAAGCTTACATGGAATTGAACAAATAAATTTCCTTTATTCAATGTTGATGAGAATGTTGATTTTTTAAAAAATGTGAATTTAATTTTTATTTATTTATTTAGAAAAGAATGAATAATATTCAGATAAAAAAATTATATTAATTTTAATCATTGAGTGGTTAAGCCAAAATATTATTTTAATTATTTAATTCAAAAATAAATAAATAAATAATAAATGCTTAGTATAGAAAAATAATATTATTATAATTTGATCATAATATTAATAACATGACTATATTAAAAAAAATGACAAATTAAAGTAGTAAATTTTAAATAATAAAAATAATTAAAAGAAAACATTAAAAGAAAATGAGACCAAATCACAATATAATTAAAGTTTGAAATTGAAAAAAAATGTATAAATAAATTGAGGACCAAAGTGCTTTAAAAAAATAACATAAATAGTGAAAGAAAGAATGATTTGTGAGTGTGTGAATAGTATTTCAAATAGTAAAAATGAATAGTAAAATCATGTTTTACTTTAGTTTTGTTTATAATGAGATTTATATATTCTTTATTTAAAGGGTCCACTCGTATATGTGTGTGTGTGTGTGTGTGTGTGTGTGAAAATATCTCCACTTTAAAAGAGCTTCCTTGATGGATATATTTCCTTTTATTTTTCTTATACATAATTGCAATATCCAACTAACTATATTAATTTTAGTTTCGAACCAAAATTTAAGAAACGTTTCCAAGTTACAAATGAGGGCATCTAAATAATTGTTCTAATTTGTGTATGAAGTTGTAGAAAAACTTTATTTAATTGTTCTTGTGATAATTCATTCTAAAATAAGGTTAAGTTCGTAATTTATATATTTTTAAGATTAAGAAAAATAATTACAAGTTAACTAAATGTTAAATATATTTTTAGTATAAATTAAAAATCTAAATTTTTGTTATAAAATAAAGTTTAGTACCTAACCCTATACAAAGAATAAGAAATTATATATATATGTATATACATACATACCTACACACACATACATATGTGTATGTATATACACATACATACATACATACATACATACATATCATTCATATGTGTATACATACGTACATACATACATACATCTATATATGTACATACGTACATACATATGTGTATGTATATACACACACACACACACGCACACAGATATATATATATACAACCATTTTGTCCCTCATTTCCTTTCTTGTTTTTCTCCCTTTTTCACCCAAAACTCTCTCTACTTCCTCCCATTCCCCTACCCTCGTTTCTAAACTAAAGACTTGCTCAAATACCTTAGAAATCCATAAAAGCAAAATGATTAAATTGAAATTTAGTTAAATTAGAGCTTCAATAGTTTGGGAGATTGAGTAATTGAAATTGAGATTGAAGATCTATTTGTCAAAGGTGAAAATTTTTATCATTTGGCTTTAGAATTGAGATGAATATATGTGTTAATTGATTATTTCAAGGTTATTTACACTCGAGTTTGTTGTTTGAATAAGAATTGAGCTAAGTTAGGGTTAGGTGTTGAATTGAATTTGGAGATTTAAGGATTTAACAATTAATTATGGTAATTGATGCTTAAAATGACATAATGATGGAGTGAAATTGATTGTTGGACTATGGGTTTGAGAAATCCTCAAGTTGGTTGAGATGATGAATTGTAGAGATAAATTGTGAAAAAACTTGAATTGAAAATTAATGATAAATTGTGTAAAAAAATTGAATTGAAAATTGATGATGGATTGTAGAATCAAGTTGTGTAGAAATTGAATAGAAATTTGATGATGGATAATTGGTTATAGAAAAGTATAAATTGGTTTTTAGAGAAAGAATGTAGAATGAACTTAAGAGTAAGAGTTTAATTAAAAATCCTCAATTTGAGTCCTTTCAATAAATTTCATTATGATAAATTATCTTGTATTCTAATTTTTAGAATAATTCATTTGCTTCAAGTTATTTTTTGATATATAATATTAATTATTATTCGATCATTTTGTATCATTAGATTTTTTGAAATGGCCAACTCCATTTCAATAACCTTGATTTCGTTCGATCATTTGATTTCACTATAAATGGATAGTCTATAGCATAATATATTATAAAGTTCCTTTGATATTTTTATCATGAGTCATTTATTTAAATATGTTAAAATCACATCTATTATAACATAGATGAGAACGGACTTTTGTATAGTTGAAACGATATGACATCGAAAAGGATTTGATTACAAGTTTTGAATAAGTGTTTTACTTAAGATTTGATTTAATGATATGGATTTAATTACTAATTTGATTGAGATTCTCAATTTTGATTTATTTGTATAATTTTATTAAGTATTTGATTTATAATTTTGGATATGAATTTGTACTTGAGTTTAGATTATAAGTATGATATTTGATATTGAGTTGTATTACTAAATTTAATTTTGAGCATGAAGTGTGTTTGAATATATTGATTTTGGATTTTTGAAATATATGTGAGATTATTTGATTAGATTGGCTACCTTAGGATACCTAATTACGGAGAGCATAGCCTATGAGCTCACTAATTTGAAAATACTTTAGTTGATAGAAGAGGCGAGTGCTAGCTCGTGTGTCGCCCAACACTTGGTATACCTAGCTACAAGGGGCGTAGCCTTTGGATATTCACATCTAATGACACGATATGATTTGATCATCTCAAGTGTAGATTCTTGATACTTGATCCGATTTAATTGTATTTCAATATGAGATTTTTATTATGAGTTTGAATGTCTTGAATATGATATATAATTTAATATTTAAATATGTATTTAATTTTGAGAAATATACAATAAATCTTGAGCAAGTTTTGAACTATTGTCCATTTATCTACTTCCCTTCTTTAATTATATTATATGTTATCTATTCATTGAGTTGTTGTTTTGCTTACTTCTAACTATTTTAGTTTTATAGAATTTGTGAGGTTTTTTGTTAACCTCATCAAAACCATTATCTTGAAGCCTACACATTGATTATGTGGCTTATTTAATTGATTTATTTTGAATTGTATTTTGTGATTGCTCGTAATTCTAAAAGCTTTTGCAGTTATATTGTGAGAGTTGTGTTAGGTTGTTAATTGTTATGCTAGATATGTTTAGGTATTGTAAATTGTGATATTAACTAATTAGGTTGTTGATTATGGAACTACAAATTTAGACGGAATTAAGAAGTATTAATTGAATTAGGATGTGATATTATGAGTTGGACATAATAAGATATATGGTTTCTATGGTTTAGGTATCCAAAACTTGTTTGAGTTGATATGCGCTCTACAGCCTTCTTCGATTCTCACTCCGGTCATGACCCACCTTAGAAGCCATGACAATTCCAAGTTAAAGTAGACCTTGTAATCCGGACCATGACAACTACTTATTTTATAAATCATTTCTTAATACACATGAATGCCAATTGGATAGTATTTAACAATTAATTCCTTTAATTTACAAGGTTAATTGCATGTTAACTTGCATTGTAATTTTTCCTTCTTAATATTACAATAAAAAACATTTTATATGTGATGTATATCATTAAACAAGTACTTTTTATACACCTTATGGATTGCTTTTTGAGCGACACTTGTACTTGCAATGATAATTATTTATGGCATATCCACATGGTAATTTTTTTTTTTTAGATTTCTACTCGAAGAGCTTCTTGTATATAATTAGTTGGTTGCACAATTTATATGTAGTTTAAAATTACGGAATCTAAGAGGATAATATTTTTTTTATACATTATAACAACAAGCTTCATAGATATGATCAATGGCTAGCTTAATTTAACGAACTCACTTAATATGATATGAAGCTATTGAGAACTAAAATTATAGGATAGGAGATGAGGATTTGTTGTAAGAAAATGATGATTTTCAAGTTGGAAACGTCCAACAAGCAAGAAAACAAGTATAAGGTTATGGATTAACCCCCTATAGTGTTATCGCTATTGATGATCGAAGGATGAGTCTAAAGATTGAGGTAAGGTAAAAATAATGAAGTTGATTTGAAAAGCTAAAAAAAGTGTAAAGAAATTGAGTCTTCTTCCATCTCATATACCGGATAAAAAGAAAGAAAGCCCCTTAGTGATGAACATGGGGATTGAGAATCGAGTGAAGCTCAAGAGAGGACAAAGAATATTTAGGAAGTAAGTGCACTAAAGGATTTAGGAGTAAAATAGGGTTGTGTTTGTTTTGGCAAAAAAAAGTTCCAAGAACTTGTTTTCCCCATTTTTTGATATTTGTTTGCATTTAGAAAAAAAAAGTTAATGAAAAATGATTTTTAATCAACGAAAATTGTTATCATATTTTTGAAAAAGTGTTTTTTGAGTTAAAAAAGAGAAAAACATTTTCTCGTCTCTCCCCGTCTCTCTAGTTGTGATGACTCGAAGGATGAGTCTAAAGATTGAGGTGAGGTAAAAATAATGAAGTTGATTTGAAAGCTAAAAAAATTGTAAAGAAACCGAGTCTTCTTCCATCTCATATACCGGATAAAAAGAAAGAAAGCGCCTTAGTGATGAACATGAGGATTGAGAATCGAGTGAAGCTCAAGAGAGGACAAAGAATATTTAGGAAGTAGTGCACTAAAGGATTTAGGAGTAAAATAGGGTTGTGTTTGTTTGGGCAAAAAATAAGTTCCAAGAACTTGTTTTCCCCATTTTTTGATATTTGTTTGCATTTAGAAAAAAAAAGTTAATGAAAAATGATTTTCAGTCCACGAAAATTGTTATAGTATTTTTGAAAAAATGTTTTTTGAGTTAAAAAAGAGAAAAACATTTTCTCGTCTCTCCTCGTCTCTCTAGTTGTCTCGTTCTCGTGTTACTCACTTCTCTCTTGATATATTTTAAAAAATTTTTTCTCTATCTTTTTTTATTTAAAATATATCAATTTAATTTTTAATTATTTCTTATCAATTATTATCGGTTATTTAATTATTTGTTTTCTATTTGTCGCTAATATTTGATTTTTTGATTTATAAATGCATTAAATATTCTTAAAAAATATTTTTACACCTTAAAATTATTTTTATAATAAATATTTTAATAATTTATCTCAAAATTTTTTTTAACTATTATCCCAAACACCACTTAAACTATACTTAAATGATTGGAAATGATTATTACAAGACTAAAATTATTTGTGAAAAAATGAAACTAATTAATTCATCAATAAATACATTATTTTCCCAACACTATTCATTAACAACTAAATCAATAATTTGTAAAATTTTATTGGTAATTGTAGTCAATGATTAGTTACAAATTATTCTAACATTAATCTTTTGAAATTAATTATTTATAAATGATAACTAATAATTTATAAAACTATTTTTTAGACTAAATTATCAGTTCAATTTTCAAAAAAAAAAAAAAAGATTCATAATTGAATTACTAAAATAACAATGCTATGATTAATTAGAAATTTTTTTACTAAATGTGAATATTGACTTGATTTTGTCCCAAGTATTTATAAAAATTTATTAAAATTTTTTAAATGCATCTTATATTATGAAATGGTGAATATACCTGGTTGAAGTTTCCTCAAAACTCATTGATGTAAGTATGATAGTCCGTTTTTGTATTTCAATTTTATATATCAAACAAATATTGAAATATATTTTCTAACAGACTTTTTCATATAATTTCCAAACATTAGAAAATATTATTTTGGAAAAAAACTTCCTAAAAAATAGCTTCTCTAGAATTGATTTTCTTATTGGAAGTTATTTTTCACCAAATAAACGAGTCTAGATCTTCGCAGAGAGATACCTCTCAAGTTTAATTATAGTGTGTCATTGACAAATAAACCAAAACTCCTAAAATGAGGTGGTTGATAAAGTATTTATAGAAATGAATGATGTGTTAAAGCTAATAAAGTTGGGACATTTGGCATCTAAACATTGCTTATAAAATGAGATGTCACAATCAATAAGATTATGATATTTATACTAATTTTGGTGTTTAAAGTTTATATCAAGTATCCGTGAAGGATCTTGTTCATACTTTTTTTTAATCAAAGAATGGTTAATAATTTGATAGTTATAGCTTTAATAAACCCGATATTGATCTTTTCAAATCACTCTTTTCCATCATTTCTTATAGTATCTATTTTTTAGCAAAAGACCCTACTTGTATCCGAGGCTAACTAGAAGTCTTTATTATGACTCTTATAAGCCATAATATGAAATGAAGATACTAGATTTAGTATTTGTTTGAATGTGAGTTAATATATCCTTGAAAAGAAAATAGGAAAAATAATTGAATCATATGAGAGAGGATCAATAATATTACTTAAAGAAGACTTAATGTGCAACATCAATTTTAAAAATATGCTACACCCCTACATACTTTTTGAAGAAAATGTGGAGCACATGCATGCCATTTCGTTTTTAGAGCACATTGTCACGGACTTGGCCTTTTCCAAGCTCTCATACGACACTTAGCTCACTTCTTCACTAAGCCAAACTAAGTTAGCCTTCTCCATACAAAGTTGTCAAGCAAGAAAGACATATACAAGAGATATAATAACTCTTTATATAACTCTCTCTAAAGCTTATAACTCTAAGATTATACCTTCTTAGATTTTTAGATGTTTTGGCCAAATAAAGGCCTCACCTATTTATAGTCCTCCACCTCCTTAATGGATTAATATGATCTATTTGATCTAATAGTTATAATTGATTCTCTAGAATTATCTTATCTAGATATTTACAAGAAACTATCTAGACATGTACAAGCTAGAATAATGATGGAATCTCTAGAATTTTCTAGGACATGTCTAAATTTCTCTTGGATATCCTACAGTGCTTCTCTATTGTTCCATAAACTTCTAAATGCTTTCAAACTTATCTAGTATTTCCTATAACCTCTAAAAAAATCTCTCTTTTGAGTGAGGTGTAACATTCTTGCTCACCTAATTTGGTGACCTCCTTTATGTGCCTTCATTATACTATTCAACCTTCCTTGCAAATTGCCACAAGGCTTCAACAGATTCTCAACTAGCCTAGCTTTCTAGTAATTCATTCCATTTCATATAATACTCTTTTCTTTATGGCACTACATGGTGTCCGACTATGCGATTATCGTGTGTGACATCAATTTTTTTATTGTATGAGTCAACCATCGTTATAAGTGTCCTATGAGAAACTCCTCGACTTGGATCCTCCTTATTTACAAGGTATGGCTTTAGCATACTAAATTGGAACACTAAATGGATCTTCAACTTCGGTGGCAACCGTAAGCGATAGGATACCTCTCCTACCTATTGCATTACCTCGAATGGTCCTTTATATCGACGTATGAGGCCTTTTTCGTCTTCTTGGTAGCCTTGTTCAAATACATTCACGTTAAGTCCGCTCGCACTTACCATCCTTTAGCCAATGTATGCATTGTAGGTCGCTTCCTTGGTACTTGTCACCGAGCACTATCGTATGGAGAGTGAGAGGTTGTTGGCCTATCACGATCATAAATATACTCTTACCGATAGACTCACTCATTTGAAAAGTTATAGGAGGATTTGACAACATCCGAGGGTAAAAATCTCTCTAGTTAGCACTCGCAAAGTGCCTCAAGTATGTCTCTAACAAGGCCATTTCGATCCGTCATCCATCCGAGGGTAAAAATTTATGGAGTAATACATCTTTGAGCCCAAAAAATTGAATAGCTCCGTCCATAGCTTCTTAATAAATCGAGAATCTTAATTACTAATTATATGTCATAGCCATTAGTGTAGGTGCCCAACATTCAACCTTAATTGGATGGTTTTCATTATTGTATCATTGCATTATTTACTTTATCAATAATAAAAGAAGTCTTTCTATTAATTATTATTATTTATATTTATTTACTAGACAGAATTAGATAGAAGTTCATATGATATGTATTTGCATTAATGATTGATTGAAAGATGTGAGACAAACATTAATATACTTAAATGATATTATTAAGTGTCCAAAGTCATAATATTATCAAGAATGGAAATTGACTATATATGGTTGAACTTATGAGTGCTATGATTATGCTAGAAGATAGTAGTAGGAGATCTCACACCTATTAGCATGGTAATGCCAAAGCAAGCACTTAAGGAATTTATGTTAGAGAGCATATCACTTGACTTGACTTGCCATGAAAACCCATTTGGTTCGATCTATGGAAATCTCATACGAGATGGGTACAATTAGTCCTTTAACTTGAAGTCATCATGATTACCTAATTAGAGGATTTATGTACTTTGAGACTTGTTTTGATGGACCTAGTAAAAGGTTGCACGTAAGCGATTTTTTGGGTGCATTACAAATCTAATAGAGGTAGATGGATGAATAAAATAAGATATGTCATTTCTTGTATGTTAAAGGAGTTACCGCATTATACTTTGATAAATGTCTAGTAAAAAAAAAAATCTATGGTCATAGTAAGAGTACACCAATAGAGCATAATTGGTTTACTCTAAGAGCTAAAATATTTAAGAATTGAAGAAAGTTTGTGTGATCATAATCGAATAGACTAATAATCAAGTTCAAGATCACACTATGATAAATTGACATGAGGACTAAATTATATGATAACCGTACTCATAGAAGGTAATTACAAATTAATTAATCGTTCTAAAGAATTAGATATTCATGATGTCTTACTAGAGGCCAATCTTGATTTATGTATCATGAGATAAAAGAGGTATCTTTTATTCTTAATACATTTCCAATATATCTAGGAGTCTATTAAGTCACACACATAAATGTTAATGCTCGGTGTCCAAGATCCAACCATGTTTGTACGGGCCCATTTTAATATACTATTACATCATTTATTTTAATAATAATAAAGAAGTCATTCTATTAATTCTTATGTCTACATATTGATAAATTCAGTAGAATTAGATAGAAGTCCTTATGATATGTATTTGCAATAGTGATTGATTGAAATATGTGAGACAAACACTAATATACATAAATGATATCATTAAATGTCCTAAGTTGTAGCATAATCAAGAATGGACATTGACAATATGTGATAGACTTGTGAGTGTTATGCTCATGCTATATGATAGCAAGTAGAAAATCTCACACTTATTGACATGGTAATGCCAAAGTAAGCACTTAAGTGATTTATGTTAGAGAATATATCACTAGACTTGACTTGCCATGAGAACCCATTAGGTTTTAGTCTATGAGAATCTAATATGAGATGGGTATAAATGGTCTTTAGACTTGAAGTCATCATGGTTATCTCATTGGAGAACTTATGCATTTTGTCACTAGGCGATTCCTTGTAAGCTAAATGATTTATTATATTATACTTCGATAAATACCTACTCAAGAAATCTGTAGCCACCGTAGGAGTACACCAAGAAAGCATAGTTGGTTTACCCTAAGACCTAAACATTTGGGAATCAAAGAAAACTTGTGTGATCATAATCAAATAAAACTAAAAATCAAGTTTGAGATCATACTATGATAAGTTGACATGAGGACTGAATTGTATGGTAACCATACTCATAAAAAGATAATAATGGATTAACTAATCCTTCTAGAGAATTGGGTATTCATGA